AGTCAGTTGATCCATGGGAGTGAGACAGCAGCTAAGTTCCTTCAAACTTGATAGAAAAATCACAGATCAGAGAAGAATGCTCTCCTAACTGTGTGTCAGTTTCTCTTCTTTCTAGGATATAGCCTGGTACGATGATAAAGAAAACAGCACAGGAGCCTTGACCACAACATTAGCCATGGATGTAGCACAGATTCAAGGGGTATGTGATTTTCAGGCTTTTTTTATTACATGTATGTATTCTGTGGATGAGGAACATGAGCCACAGCCCACACTTGGAGGGCAGAGGACAGCTTTCTGAAGTTAGTTCTGTCTACCCACCATGTGGGACCTGGGGATCAAATTCCGGTCATCCAGTTCCGCAGAAGGTGTCTTTTCCAAATGAGCCTTCTTGCTGGTCCTGTGGTTTTATTTATTAAACAGAATGTTGTATGGTGTGAATGTGTACCTACACCTGTGTCTGTGCCTATCTGTGTGTTATGCTAAGGTGACCTAGCATGAAGGAGAACAAGGAGTATCGTGGCCAACAGGGATTCTGAAGGAAAGACTGAAGAATATCTTTGAGATCAGGCTATTTTTAGACTAAAATGAAGATGCTTTGGCCCATATATTAGGATAAATCTAAAACTAAAAGGATTTTAAGAATTAGAGACAAGGGGCAGGAGAGATGGCTCCAGAGGTCCTGAGTTCAATTCCCATCAACCACATGGCAGCTCACAACCATCTGTAATGAGATTTGGTGCCTTCTCCTGACATGCAGGCAAAACACTGTATACATAATAAATAAATAAACAAATCTTTAAAAAAAAACATTAGAGACAAGAGTTTGCAAGGAAATAATAGAACAGCAAAATAGAAAGAGGGAAGAAAACACACCCAGCACAGACTCTCTACCTTTGCTTTGCTTTGCTTTAACACAGGGCACCATTAAGCAGCCCCAGGTGGCCTTGAACCCATGTGGCTCAGCCTCCAAATGGTAGAACTGAAGGCATGCACTTCACCCAGCTCCGTTAATGTCAATGAGACAAAAAGTTTAATTTTCATTTCCCCAGAAACTAAGACCTTACTTAAAGGGATACCTAGTGATTTGAATTCAGGGTTTGCTCTGTGAAGGTTGTTAAGCAGATCAAGTTAGACAGTGTGTATAACACTGGCCTGTCATATCGCAGGTAAATACAACGTTGTTCCTCATTTTCAGGTCACTGACACAGTAACACCACACTTAACAAGATGCTCCAATAAGTGTGGGAACGGGGTTGTTGCAGGAGGAAAAGAACAGCTTGCTAGCCAGATGTGGCACTCTGTGCCTATAATCTCACTGCTTGGGAAGCTGGGAAAGGAAGATCGCTCCAAGATCCAGGCTAGCTTACTTCACGTAGTAAGTTCAAGGCCAGCCTGGGCTACATGATGAGATTAGATAGATAATAGATTTCGACGATATCTTGTTTGTACAAATAAAGCATGTCTGAAGATCAGAGGGTAGAGCTTGCCACTAGATCTGGAGGTCTGTATAGACAGACAGGAAGTGAGATGGCTGGGTGGAGAAAGGAATATAGGTGGGAGGAAACAGGAACTTGTTCTCTTCTCCTCTGGGAAAAGGTAAAGGTGGCTTTGGTTTGCCCTTTCTTCTCTCTGATCTCTCAGCATGTTCCCCTATATCCTACTCCAGACTTAATAGAACTTGTGTTACAATAGATAGATAATAGATAGGCAGGTAGATACAGAGATAAAGAGAAATACAGATAGGACAAAATGCCTTTTTTCAAATTATTTTAATAAAATTAACCTTTATAAAATGATTAAAATGTTAATCTAATTGAGAAAATGAATACAAAGCAAGTTGTGTCGGTCTTAATTTAAGTGAGATTGTTTTTGTTAATGTGGGTGTATGGGTGTGTACGTGTACATGTGTGTCTTCACTTGCATTCCTGTACACATTTGTCCAGTGGAGGATTCTGCTGTATCACTCTCTTCCTCATTCCCTTGAGACAAGGCCTCTGACTGAAGCTGGAGCTCAGCCAAGGCCGGAACACCCTAGATGTCTCCTGTCTCTAGCTCCTACAGTGCCGTGGTTATAGGTGCATAAGGCCATGGCTAAGTTCTGCAGTTGCTGGGGACCATAACTTAGTCCTTCAAATCCACTGAGCCATCATCTTAGTTCAAGATAAATTGTTTAAGCTCTGTTAGAACATGAACTCTAAAAGAGTATAGGAATCGCTAAGATTTCACTAGATAAGATTTCAATTCTAAAATAGCTCTGAAAATGTTTATCTTACTAGCACACATCGGGGGAAATGTGCTAAACATATTAAGCACAGTATTCATGTAACAGTAGGTTCCTGTGAACAGCCACTGCATTTCAAGTGCCAGTTACAACCCTAGGCAGAAAAATGTCAGTCCTGGTAAGTCCGTGCAAAACCCCAGTCCACAAAAGTGGTGTTTTTTTTCCTTTGCTGTGCCAATTATTTCTTATTACCTATCTTTCAAATATTTTAAATGAAACCCTTTCTGTGTGTGGGGGGGGGGGGGGAGAATATTGCTCATGTGTTTGGAGGCTCAGCAGGTAAAGGCAGTTGCCACACAAGTGTGGGGTGGTGTGAATCCTAACCCCAGAACCAACATGAAGTTAGAGCCAGACATCTGACGCCACAGAATTGTCTTTTGACATTTACATGAGTATGTGTACACACACACACCATACACATACACACACACACACACACAAACACACACCATACACATACACACACACACACACACACACACCATACACATACACACACACACACACACCATAAACATACACACACACACACCATACACACACATAAACCATACACACACACCACACACACACACACCATACACACACACACACCATACACACACACACCATGCACACACACACACACCACACATACACACCATAACACACACCATACACACACACCACACATACACACCATACACACACACACCATACACACACCACACATACACACCATACACACACATACCACACACACACACCATACACACACACATACACACACCACACACACACCATATCCACACACATACAAACACCACACACAAATACACACACCACACACACACCATACACACACATACACACACCATACACACACCATACACACACCATACACACACCATACACACACCATACACACACCATACACACACCATACACACACCATACACACACCATACACACACCATACACACACCATACACACACCATACACACACCATACACACACCATACACACACCATACACACACCATACACACACCATACACACACCATACACACACCATACACACACCATACACACACCATACACACACCATACACACACCATACACACACCATACACACACCATACACACACCATACACACACCATACACACACCATACACACACCATACACACACCATACACACACCATACACACACCATACACACACCATACACACACCATACACACACCATACACACACCATACACACACCATACACACACCATACACACACCATACACACACCATACACACACCATACACACACCATACACACACCATACACACACCATACACACACCATACACACACCATACACACACCATACACACACCATACACACACCATACACACACCATACACACACCATACACACACCATACACACACCATACACACACCATACACACACCATACACACACCATACACACACCATACACACACCATACACACACCATACACACACCATACACACACCATACACACACCATACACACACCATACACACACCATACACACACCATACACACACCATACACACACCATACACACACCATACACACACCATACACACACCATACACACACCATACACACACCATACACACACCATACACACACCATACACACACCATACACACACCATACACACACCATACACACACCATACACACACCATACACACACCATACACACACCATACACACACCATACACACACCATACACACACCATACACACACCATACACACACCATACACACACCATACACACACCATACACACACCATACACACACCATACACACACCATACACACACCATACACACACCATACACACACCATACACACACCATACACACACCATACACACACCATACACACACCATACACACACCATACACACACCATACACACACCATACACACACCATACACACACCATACACACACCATACACACACCATACACACACCATACACACACCATACACACACCATACACACACCATACACACACCATACACACACCATACACACACCATACACACACCATACACACACCATACACACACCATACACACACCATACACACACCATACACACACCATACACACACCATACACACACCATACACACACCATACACACACCATACACACACCATACACACACCATACACACACCATACACACACCATACACACACCATACACACACCATACACACACCATACACACACCATACACACACCATACACACACCATACACACACCATACACACACCATACACACACCATACACACACCATACACACACCATACACACACCATACACACACCATACACACACCATACACACACCATACACACACCATACACACACCATACACACACCATACACACACCATACACACACCATACACACACCATACACACACCATACACACACCATACACACACCATACACACACCATACACACACCATACACACACCATACACACACCATACACACACCATACACACACCATACACACACCATACACACACCATACACACACCATACACACACCATACACACACCATACACACACCATACACACACCATACACACACCATACACACACCATACACACACCATACACACACCATACACACACCATACACACACCATACACACACCATACACACACCATACACACACCATACACACACCATACACACACCATACACACACCATACACACACCATACACACACCATACACACACCATACACACACCATACACACACCATACACACACCATACACACACCATACACACACCATACACACACCATACACACACCATACACACACCATACACACACCATACACACACCATACAC